ACTTGTTAAGATGTGAACATAATTATATTTAGAATTATTGTAAATATTTTATACTTTAGAATATTCTCTTTGTATACTTTATACTTTAGAATATTTTCTTTGTAAACACCTATATATAGGTCATTGTACATACAGTATAATTCAAGAAAGCAATAAACCTTTCTTCAAATATTTCTCCTTCTTTTCAATTTCTAACATGGTATCAGAGCCATAAGCTCTTGGTTCTTTTCTCTTATCATCGCTGTTGGGTTTTTGGAGTTGGATTTTCAATTCCATTCCAGATCTGAAACCTTGTCATTGGGATCTCTTCTCATACAGATTGAATTGTTTATCCTCGATTCTCAGACCCTTTCTGAGGTATTTTGTTGGTTTGTTATTTCGATCTTGACATCTATTTCTCCATATTTTTAGAGTTTTTCAGTATTGCGAGTTTACTGATTCTATGACGAGTTTTGAAAGGATTGTAACTCATCCTGCTACTGCTACGGTTGCTAAAGAAGTGATAGAACAACCTAATGTCAACCTTGAATCCCTAAAATAGGTGATATTAAATCTTTTTAATGCTTCTACTGCCTTATCTACTGCTCCGGGTACCAAACCTTGGTATTTCGATTCTGGTTGTTGTAACCATATGTCTTCAATTACTGCTCATTTCTCTTCAATGTCACCTAATAATTCCTTTCCTGATATTTATTCTGCTGATGGTTCCCCTATGAATGTTAGTTACATTGGTAATGTTTCTACAAAGTCATTGACTTTACCAAATGCCCTTTTAGTTCCAAAACTTAGTTATAATCTTCTATCTGTCGGTCAATTATGCGATCTTGGTCTTGAAGTAACATTTTCTACTCATGGTTGTCGTGTGCAGGACACAGACAGGACAACTTCTTGGAACTGGTCGCAAGGTGGGGCGTTTGTTTGAGCTCAACTATCTACATATTCTTGATAATAAAATGGATACACCATCATTTCCAAATGATCGATTCATCCAAACCCTGCTTTGTGCTATTGAATTAGAGTCTTTGCAAATTCCATATCAACAGATCCTCCAAGTCTGTGCTGCTACTAACACTTCTCCTCTCCATTTGTGGCACTCACGACTTGGACACACCTCTGTCGGTAAACTTCGTCCACTTATCTCTCGTGGTTTATTAGGATCAGTTCCGAATGAATCTGTGCATTGTGTGTCATGTCAATCTGCAAAACAACCAGCTTTATCTTTTTCGAGTAGTCATTCTCATTCTACTGCTCCTTTTGATCTTGTGCATTCTGATGTTTGGGGTCCATCTCCTACACCCACCACGGGGGGTTCCAGGTACTTCGTGTTATTTATTGATGATCATACTCGTTTTACCTGGATATACCTTATGAAAAGTCGCTCTGAATTATCACAAATTTATATTGATTTTGCTACCATGATCAAAACTCAGTTCTCTAAAATTATCAAAGTTTTGAGAACTAACAATGCTACTGAATATCTTGATACTAAACTTCAATCCTTTTTGAAAGAACAAGGTACACTGCCACAACAATCTTGTCCTTATACTTCTGAACAAAATGGGCGAGCCGAACGCAAAAACAAACACATCCTTGATTCTGTTCGTGCTCTGCTCATTTCATCCTCTTGTCCAGAGCGATTTTGGGGTGAGGCTGCTCTTACAGCTGCTTATCTTATTAATCACATTCCATCATCAGTCCTTAATAACCAGTCCCCATATGAGCGTCTACATGGTATTCTTCCTGCTTATAATCTTCTTAAGGTTTTTGGTTGTGCATGTTTTGTTCTTCTTCCACCTCATGAAAATAACAAGTTAGAACCTAGAGCTCGATTATGATGTTTTTTGGGTTATGGGATTACACAAAAAGGATATCGTTGTTGGGATCTTGTGTCACAAAAACTCCGAGTTTTACGTCATGTTGTCTTTTGGGAACACACTATGTTCTCATCATTGTCAAACTTCAAAGTGTCATCCTCTCATCAACCTCCATTTTTCACTAATCCTTCTATTGAGCTATTTCCTAGTGATTTTAATGCAGGTACATCTGATGAGCTCTACAATGCCTCACCACATGCTCCAACTAGTTCTGTAGAAGATGATCTGCCTGCTGGTAATGCATTAGATACTTTTGAGCCTTCTTCTACTTCCTTGTCTACAAATGAACCTGTTGTCCCATCCTCGAGTCATCCTACTCGGGTAAGAAAGCCTCCAAACTACCTTCGTGATTATCATTGTTTTCCTGCTATTACTTCGTTACATGAGCCTCAATCCTATCAAGAGGCCTCTTCTAACCCTCTTTGGCAACAAG